ATTGTACGTATATGTAGCTGAATATATATTAACATATAGGCTATTCTTGTCTAGGTAAATTGATGTTTGTTACAACACACTCTCTTCTCTTCCAAAACTTCTGAATATACCATCTGGAAAACTGTGCATATATGTAGATAAATATATAGATTTACATATATATGCTATTCTAAAACAAGGGGGTCGGTGGAAGGATGATCTAAACCAAGCATGTCAAACTCGCGGCCCGCGGGCCTCATGCGGCCCACAACGAATAAATTTGCGGCCCACCAGACTATATATTTTAATAAAAAAAATAATAAAAATTTGTAGACTAATTTTTAAAAATTGTAATTATACATAATTTATTTATTAATAACGAACCACTGGTCGCCATACATAAGTCGTAAGTTTTGATAATAGATACCTACATACATAACGTATGTACATCGCCATAAGTATTGTGTGCCTTAAAGTTTAAAGAAAATATTCTTTCGGAGTACTAGAAAAAAAAATTGAAGAAATATGTCAGTTTTTAATAACCAAGAATCAAAAGACATCGCTTTGTTTTCTGATCAAGTATGGTTGCAAGATTTTTCCTTCATGGTTGACATAACAAAACACTTGTCGGATTTAAATTTGAAACTGCAAGGAAAGGATCAAATCATTACCAACATGTGTGACCAAGTTAATGCATTCAAATGTAAGCTAGTTCTTTGGGAAAAGCAGTTGAAAAACGAAGATTTAATGCACTTTCCGACATGCAACATGTACAAATCAAGTTTAGGTGAAACTGCATCGTATCAAAAATATGCGGAAAAAATTTTAAGTCTTAGAAATGAATTTGAAACAAGGTTTTCTGATTTCAAATCTTTGGAAGGCAAGTTTACTTTGTTTTCTTCGATTTTCTCGATAAGTATAGAATCAGTACCTAATCATATGCAAATGGAGGTAATAGATATCCAGTGCGATTCAGATTAAGAGGCAAAATTCATTGAAGTTGGCGTTTCTGAATTTTACAAATATTTGCCAGCCAGATTTGAAAACACTCGAAAATTAGCATATGAAATTATGTCCATGTTTGGAAGTACTTATCGGTGCGAGCAGTTATTTTCACTTATTAAAGGAAATTAGCCTCCAATCAGATCGAGAATTACTGACGTTCACCTTGGGTCAGTTTTGAAATTAATCACTGCGAACAAGATTTCCCCCGAAGTAGGAAAGATGGTAGCAGAAAAGAGATGCCAAATATCAGGGAGAAAATATTAACTTTACTTTCTTTTTTCTTATTAGTATTTTTAAAAATAAACCTACATAAATGTTACTATATAAATTTAATTACTTGTTTTCTTTTTTTGCGGCCCACATAATCTTATTACTTTTTTATTTGGCCCGTGTTAGGATTTGAGTTTGACATGCTTGATCTAAACCATTGG